GGGAGGGAGGGAGGGAGGGAGGGAGGGAGAGAGAGAGAGAGAGAGAGAGAGAGAGAGAGAGAGAGAGAGAGAGAGAGAGAGAGCACTTAAATTTATACAGGCATCTTTGAATCTATGATCTCCTTTTGGTATAAGTTCTTGCCTAAGTTCAGTTTCTATGCATAGGAGATTTTATAAATATTATCAATGCTATTTGTTTGGAAAATATCAAATTGCTATTTGGAACTCTAGTAAGATGAACAGAAGTGAACTAGACAGCAAAGCTAGGAACATTGAGGGACATTGGATTACCTTGAATGTGGGCCTTGATAGGAGATGGTTAAAAGGTAGAATTCTAAATACTGTTCAACCAGATTTCAGTTTCATGGAGCTGCAAAACATGTCTTAAGAGAGGCTTGCTCCCTCCTTCGAGACACTGCCTCTCTCTCTCCACCGGCGTCTGCTTTTCTTCTGAAACACTTTCATAATCAAGTGACTTTCCTTGCGTGTGTGCCTGGGGACAGCGGGGATTTCTCTGAGGATGAGGAAAGTTACATATTGATTACTGTTGCTTGCGGCGTGTTTGCTCCAGAGCTAGCTTGCGCAGACAGCTCTCCAACACTGGACTTTACAGGCATTCACTGAAATATACATCGCACCGCGAGAAAACGCGTACACCACACACACACACACACACACACACACTCCTCTCTCTCTCTCTCTCTCTCTCTCTCTCTCTCTCTCTCTCTCTCTCCCCCCCACCTCGGGCGCGCGCACGCATGCGCGCTCACGCATCCACTCCTCTCCGCCTTCAGATGAGTGGACCAGGAGTCAGAAATTCCGCAACTCCCTTGGCCCAGTGTTTGTGTGTGTAAGCTGACGGCGTGTGTTGGTGTGTGGGCAAGAACGCATCAGGAAGCCCGCAGCTACCTCTCTCTGCAAAGTATACCGTGATCCCCACGCCAGGCTTTACATCCGATCCCCACAAGAAAGCAAATCACTGTCAAACTTTTCTCTTTCTAGAGGAAGACAGCCGAGTTGCTTCCCACCCTGTAGCTAAGTACCAGGGCGACCATGGCTCAGCCCTGGGCTGAGACTTAGCGCGGGCTCTGCGGGCCTTGAGGCTCCTGCGTCCAACTCAGCTAGTCAATGACTCTCAAGCGCTGGGGCTGCTGGCCCCGCCCCCGCCTGCCGTTTCTCCGCCTCCTATTGGGCGTGGGCCGAGAAGGCAGGGTCTGGCTCCCCACGCCGATTGGCTGGCATAGAATCAGTATCAATGTTTAAGCGGCGGCGTGAGGTGAATAGAGTCAATCAGCAAGAGACGCTGGGGAGAGAATCCGGACTGCGAGCCCGGCGGCTGCCGCAGCGGAGGAGGGCGGCTCGGAGACGCTACTCCAACTGTTGAATTGAATTTTCACCTTCCATTTCCTCCGCGTCTTGGCTGGCGGAGATGGATTTATTCGGTTTGAAACCTGCACGTTTTTCTCAGGCTTTGGGGTGATCCTGACAGGCACCGCACCAGACTGAAAGAGACCACTCGTGACAGGAAAAAAAAAAAAAGGAGAAATTAAAAAAAAACCCTCCACAACAGACTGCACAATTAGCTATGCACACCGATGCTGGACTTTGTGAAAAGAGATCATTGGGAGGAAAATCTTGAACTATGATCCTGGGCTAAGCTGTGAATCATTACTGGAAACGTGCCCCCACCCCTAAAACTGAGAGATTTGGGGGCATCTCACGCCTAGCCAAGTGGAAAGATTTTTTTTTAAAACAAATAAATTCCGTAAGCAAAGCAGACGCCTTGTTTTGCAGAGCCTCGGACTCCGGCCGAAAGAGGTAGAGTAAAAGTGCTCCTGGATTCAGCTTTGCCTTCCTCCCCCCACGCTCTTTTTATCGTTTTCTTCCCCCACCCTCCGACGTGATTCCGGCTTTTTTTTTTGTTTTGTTTTGTTTTTTTGTTTTTCCTATTGAGTGAGTCAGAGAAAGCCGTAAGAAGAAGCCTCAACTAATGTCTGTGAAGGGAGGACCGTAAGGGGAGAGTGAATACGATTCGTTCCGCTGCTTCTGACTCATCCCGCAGATCAGAACACCTGCATTTCTGGATGTGTCATTCCCATATACCGAGGCGCCTGGAGAAGCGGAAATAATGTATAGATCAACCCGAGCCTAACCTCCCCTCGGAGGTAGAGGTAGTTTCCCCCGGGTGGGCGCCCTGGCAGTACCGCGGTGGCTGCAGCACCTCACCCTCTCTCTGCCTTTCCCAAGTCGACCAGAGACTGTGAGAGCCAGACTGCAGAATGCATCACGCCAAGCCTTGATGTATTCCATTCACCCTACTCCTCCAATTTAAAATAATACTAATACTAATACTAATACTAAGGGGGAAAAGCCTACACTGTTTTCTCTTCAAATAGTCACTACTCTTGTTCCTCGCCAAGGTTTTCCTTTCTAGATGAAAAGAACTGGGAGGCTGGGCCACTGGAAGGAGGTGCTGAATAGAAAGAAAAGAGAGCCACTTGACAGCCCAGCCCTGTGAATGCAGAGACTGTTTCCCTTCTAGCGAGAGACAGGGCGAGTGTGTGTGTGTGTGTGTGTGTGTGTGTGTGTGTGTGTGTGTGCGCGCGCGCGCGCCCGAAGACTGGGAGGGTAGCTCCCTCCTCCTTTCTAGTCTGCCCTCCCCCTCCTCCTCCCCCTCCCCCTTCAAATCTGCACGTCTAACCATGAGTTGCCTGTTGATTTCCTTTCGCCTGGCAAGAGAAGCAAACTGGAATTAAACTGCAGGGAGAGGAGTCTTTGCTTGCAGGAAGAGGATGGGATGGTAGTGGCGGCTCCCGGCTTGGCGTAGAGACACCAGAGTGTTCTACGAACAGAGGCGGAGATATATCTCTCTATTTTTCTCCTCCCAATAGGCTCTCGGCGCAAATGCTGATCAGGCTGTGGCTTTCTTGATTTTGGGGAGAACCTTCTCCGAGGAAGAGAGGGAGGAGCTTGGTAGGGGGAGGAAACTACAAATCGGGACACTTTTTTTTTCCCACTGCATTTCCTCCTCTCCCTCTGGCTGCTCGGAAAGAAGAGAGAAAAAGAAGAGAGAGAGAGAGAAAAAAAATACTTGGCTCAGAAATGCTGTCCGCTGCCGCCGCCGCTGCCTAAGCCAGCAATGCAAGATTAGATCTTTAAATGCAGCAATACACCGCCTGAAAGCCGACCATCCTGCACAACGAGCAGACATTTCTCCGTGCGCCAGGGCAGCCTCAAATATACATATGTATCTGTGACTCTTTCTTCGTCCCTACTCATTCCCATCAATCTCAGCACCCGAATACGAGTAACTAAAGGATTCCACTTTCTGATCTGCCTGGAGACACACCTCCTGAAGCCCTCCCCCACTCGATTTGAAGAGTATTTCTGTAGGCTGCCGGAGGGAGTGGATTTTGCAGCGCCTAGCGGGAGTGAGGAAAACCCACCAATTCTTCAGCTCATTATCATCGCTTCCAGACTCGATTTCCTTTTTATCGCCAGCCTCCATCACGCAAGTTTGAACCTCCTGAAGTCCAGGCGGGAGAGACAAAGCCTTGGGCTTGCCCTCAGCCGCAGGGAGTCGCCGCCTTGCTCCGAGCTGCTGCAGCTTCGCTGCGCGGCTGCATCTCTCCCAGTACGAATGCTGTAGATCAACAGGTTCGGGGAACTTGAGCGGAATCAGGAGAGACTGCCTGGTGCCGCAGCCCGGGTGCGGAGGGAAGGAAGGACTCTCAGACTCGCGGCTCGCTCCGAGCTCTTACGCTCCGCCCCGGTTCCAGACTGGCGCGCACCCACAAGCTAGCACCTCCAGTCCGGCTGCTCCCGTTCCCACCCCACCGGTCGGGGATGTACCTTTCCATCTGTTGCTGCTTTCTTTTGTGGGCCCCTGCCCTGACACTCAAAAACCTCAACTACTCAGTGCCAGAGGAGCAAGGGGCCGGCACGGTGATAGGCAACATCGGCAAGGATGCCAGACTGCAGCCCGGGCTTCCGCCGGCTGAGCGCGGCAGCGGCAGCGGGAGGAGCAAGTCCGGCAGCTACCGGGTGCTGGAGAACTCCGCACCGCATCTGCTGGACGTGGACGCCGACAGCGGGCTCCTCTACACCAAACAGCGCATCGACCGTGAGTCCTTATGCCGCCACAATGCCAAGTGCCAGCTATCCCTAGAGGTGTTCGCTAACGACAAAGAGATTTGCATGATCAAGGTAGAGATCCAGGACATCAACGACAACGCTCCCTCTTTCCCTTCGGATCAGATAGAAATGGACATCTCAGAGAACGCGGCACCCGGCACCCGCTTCCCCCTTACGAGCGCACACGACCCAGACGCTGGCGAGAACGGACTCCGCACCTATCTGCTCACCCGCGATGATCATGGCCTCTTTGCACTGGACGTCAAGTCCCGCGGCGACGGCACCAAGTTCCCAGAGCTGGTCATCCAAAAGGCGTTGGACCGCGAGCTGCAGAACCACCACACTCTGGTGCTGACAGCCCTGGATGGCGGTGAGCCTCCACGCTCCGCCACCGTGCAGATCAATGTGAAGGTGATCGATTCCAATGACAACAGTCCAGTCTTCGAGGCTCCATCATACTTGGTGGAGCTGCCCGAGAACGCTCCACTAGGTACCGTGGTCATTGATCTGAACGCCACCGATGCTGATGAAGGTCCCAACGGAGAAGTCCTTTACTCCTTCAGCAGCTATGTGCCCGACCGCGTGCGGGAGCTCTTCTCCATTGATCCTAAAACTGGCCTGATTCGCGTTAAGGGCAACCTGGACTATGAGGAGAACGGCATGTTGGAGATCGACGTGCAGGCCAGAGACCTAGGACCTAACCCCATCCCAGCCCACTGCAAGGTCACAGTCAAGCTTATCGACCGCAACGATAACGCGCCGTCCATTGGTTTCGTCTCCGTGCGCCAGGGGGCGCTGAGTGAGGCCGCCCCGCCTGGCACAGTCATCGCCCTAGTTCGGGTCACTGACCGGGACTCAGGCAAGAATGGGCAGCTTCAGTGTCGGGTTCTAGGTGGAGGAGGAACTGGAGGAGGAGGTGGCCTCGGGGGTCCCGGTTCCGTCCCCTTCAAGCTTGAAGAGAACTATGATAACTTCTACACCGTGGTGACTGACCGTCCGCTGGACCGAGAGACACAAGACGAGTACAATGTGACAATTGTGGCCCGGGACGGGGGCTCCCCTCCACTCAACTCCACCAAGTCGTTCGCTGTCAAGATTCTGGATGAGAATGACAACCCGCCTCGGTTCACCAAAGGACTGTACGTGCTCCAAGTCCATGAGAACAACATCCCAGGAGAATACCTCGGGTCAGTGCTCGCCCAGGATCCCGACCTGGGCCAAAATGGGACAGTGTCATACTCCATTCTCCCCTCACACATCGGTGACGTGTCCATTTACACCTATGTGTCCGTGAACCCCACTAACGGGGCCATCTATGCCCTGCGCTCCTTTAACTATGAACAGACGAAGGCTTTTGAATTCAAGGTGCTGGCTAAGGACTCGGGGGCGCCAGCGCACTTGGAGAGCAACGCCACGGTGAGGGTGACAGTGTTAGACGTGAATGACAACGCTCCAGTGATTGTGCTTCCCACTCTACAGAACGACACAGCCGAGCTGCAGGTCCCGCGCAACGCTGGCCTGGGGTACCTGGTAAGCACCGTGCGCGCCCTGGACAGCGACTTTGGAGAGAGCGGGCGCCTCACCTATGAGATCGTGGATGGCAACGATGACCACCTGTTTGAGATCGATCCGTCCAGCGGCGAGATCCGCACGCTGCACCCCTTCTGGGAGGATGTGACCCCCGTGGTGGAGCTTGTGGTGAAGGTGACCGATCATGGCAAGCCCACCCTGTCCGCCGTGGCCAAACTTATCATTCGCTCAGTGAGCGGTTCCCTGCCTGAAGGGGTACCGCGAGTGAATGGTGAGCAGCACCACTGGGACATGTCGCTGCCTCTCATAGTGACACTGAGCACGATTTCTATCATCCTCCTAGCGGCCATGATCACCATCGCTGTCAAGTGTAAACGGGAAAACAAGGAGATTCGCACTTACAACTGCCGCATCGCTGAGTACAGCCACCCTCAGCTTGGCGGGGGGAAGGGCAAGAAGAAGAAAATCAACAAAAACGATATCATGCTGGTGCAGAGCGAGGTGGAGGAGAGGAACGCCATGAACGTCATGAATGTGGTGAGCAGTCCCTCCCTGGCCACCTCCCCTATGTACTTCGACTACCAAACCCGCCTGCCCCTCAGCTCGCCCCGGTCAGAGGTGATGTATCTTAAGCCAGCCTCCAACAACCTGACTGTCCCGCAGGGGCACGCAGGCTGCCACACCAGCTTCACCGGACAAGGGACTAATTCGAGCGAGACCCCTGCCACTCGGATGTCCATAATTCAGGTAGGAGACTTTTAGAGTAAAGGGGACTTCACATAAAAGCTCTTGCTGGTGCTGTCCTGAGACCTTTGGATAAGGGAAACCCAGATGGCCAGCAACAATGTGTGTGTGTCGGGGGGTGGAGGTGGGGAATAGTTAACTGAAGATGGTTCACATCTTTGACCCTGTGTGCACACCATTTCCTATTCAGAATCCCTCCCGTGTAAATAGCTAAAACACATGCCACACCTCTGTTGCATTTTTAAAATTTATTTTTACACATTTTGAAGTGATAACAATAGTCAATATTTAAACTTTATTCTATCTGCAGAACTATATTTCTTTCCATAACAGGATTCCCAGAGTAGAACCAAAAGGGAAAAAGTTAATTTCCTTTAATGAGTTTTATTCCATTAAAACATTTTATGTTGATATGAAATTTATCATATTGGAGCTAACTTCTTTAGGGATGAAATAGTCACCAGGTCAGTACTCAAAAGCTGTGAATCAATTCGAACCAAGTTTTACCCTCTGATTCTTATATTTTGAAAGTGTTCTAGGCACTTATTCTAGGCACCATTTATTCCTTAACTAAACTTTCACCTGAAGCTTTGGAAGTGTGACTCACATTCTAATATGCTTTGTGCAAGTTAGGCACAGTGACCAGAAAAAAAAATCTTTGAAAAGAATTTCATTAGTTTCAGGTTTTCCTGTGAGCTTCATGTAGTCACTAAGGGATGAAACGTCTACCCGATGTGTCATAAGGTCATGTTTTATGCTATTGATGGCAGGGAATTAAATTGCAGTGAATCCCACATGATTTGTTTTTTGAACAGGATATATTTTGGTATCTACACATATTATCAAACATAAGGTGAAAACAAAACCATTGTCCAAAGCACAGACATTGATTCTTCAAATATGACCCTGCTGTGATGATCCAGTCACCTTCTTGTTCTTTTATTCATTACTGTTATGTCACAGAAAAAATATAATTCGTGGTTATCATAATATTTAGAACACATGTTGTTACAAATTCCTCTGAATGAGCAGGCATTGAAGTTTGCAGCTGAACATAATCAAAATTGACACTTGAGTGGGGAGTTTAGTTTAAAGTAAATGAAAAGTCATTGCCCATATTATTATGCTTTGACAAGCATGTCTCAGTGAAGTTACTATTGTTCAGATGGAGTGTTGAAGACCCATAGGCCTGCTAATATAAACCACCCATGTCCTAATGCTAAGCAGAAAACATTTTCTACTGCAGCATAGTGTCCATGTGAACAAGGCTCGTCAAGTACAATGTGATTTACTATTAAAGTATAAATTCCATTTTTAGGGTACTCACTGTATATGAGTAATCATGTAATCATGGATTTAAAGTTTATATGAAACATGAAAGAAATTCTCAGCTATAAAAACTTGGCTTCTAAGAAATGTCTTCCTGTACTTGTGTGAAACTGGTATTTAAGAACACTAATATCTCTACAGAGGGAATAATGATTAAACCTTTGTTTATAGATGTGATGTAGTTATTTTGGAATTACAGATATTTTGTATACCTGTCCTATATTTATGCGACTGATAAGGTTGTCACAAAAGACTAACACTTAATCATCTACTTTAAGGGTTGTGAGTTGAATTTTCATCTAGTTTATAGCATTAAAAAATTATAAAAATAAGTTGGTGCAGTAAAATTCTCAACACGTCTATCTTCTTGGACTAGTGAACAGCATTCTTGAATAAAATACCCAAAACTTTGGAAAGATGTGATGCTTATACTATGTTAGCTGTATTGCCATTGAAGCTGGTCATTGGTGGTAAATCATAGTGGTGAGTCCTCACTAATAGTGAAACCCAAGCCAAGAAAAATCACGGACTACCCCAAATTCCCATAGTTCAAGCAGTAAGTCAAAGAGTATTCTTTTATGTCAAAATATGTAACCCATTCCACTGAAGTACAAAATGGACTTTGGTTTAAGTTTGTAATTTTACCAAAGTGTCTCAATTCCCTATGTTACTTCTGTCTTTAAAATTTCTCAACCTAAACAGCTAACAGTTTTCCCTCATCTTCTTTCAGTCCTTTAAAAGATGAGATATAGAATCCAATAAGTTAATGTCCTGGGAAATGTACCATATTTCTCTGATATTTATTATAAAAACCATAATAAATTAGCCAGTTGCTGCCCCTGTTCTCTTTCTCTCAACAATTGGGCTGCAACACACATTGTGCTCAAGTGGAATGAAGGAAGTCTGTAGGAATTCTATAATCTTATATCAAACTCATTTGTCAGCATTTGCATCCTTCGGCCTACAATGTAAATGTGCTACTAATTTCATGTCTCTTTCTTAAAGTAGACTTGTATTCCCCAAATCCAATAGGATCAACAGCTAGTAGCTCTGGTTTATCTTTATTTTTTCAGTATCTTGCATAGTGTTTTGAAAGTACATAGTATATCTTTATAAATGGGTTAAACAAATTTACATAATTATGTTGTTAATACCCATGTACAATAAGGAGATATGAAATATAGAAACTTTGGGGCTGTATGGCTCACATTACAGCTAAAGTTAAAAGTGGGAGTGTTTGGATCGCAGGGCCCAAGGGGTTCATGCTTCAAGTTTTTGTTTCATCTCAGATATATATATATATATATATATATATATATATATATATATATATATATTCATAGATTTGTGAAAAGAAATTTTATTTTTATTAAAACCTGTGAGTCAGGCTATAAAATGTTTAGACAATAGATGTGTGACTGGTATATCTATAATTGCACAGGAATTATACTACTACTTCGAAATTACAATGTGATATTTTATTTATTTTAAGGTATAGATGTTGTATTGAAGAATAGTAACAGATTTTGAAGAGGGTTCTTCACATGGAGACATTTTCATGTGTATTATTTTGTGTGGTGATGTAAAATAGAACATAAATGTAGAAGTCTTTACTCATTCTGAAGAATAACTGTTAATTATGGCTTTGTAAGAGCAAGTTCACACTTGTAATATAAGTAGGGAAGGGAAGGCAGGTCAGTCAGCACCTCAGAGTCATTCTTGGTTAAAAAGAGTGGCCAGCCTGAGATACATGAGCCCCTGTCTCAAGAAAACAAAGCAAAACCACAAATTAAGTTAAATCTCAGGCAACTTCTCAACAGGTGTTCTCCATGAATCCTCATTGAGAAGACATATTGGGAAGCCCTGATGATAGGGCTTCCTGATTATCTTTTGTTTATTTTTTAAAATATCTGTATTCGCCCGCAGTTCTGATGAAAAGCACTAAAATTCTTCTTAAATATGTTCATAAGGTTTATAACATAAACTTGCCAAATATAGGTTAAGCATGTTGTTTTAAATATAAATCAAGTAAATAAGGTTGTAGCAAGTGCCTGGAGCAAAAGACACCCATGAGAGTGAGATTGGACTGTAAAGGAGTTAAGCTATCATGCACAAAGAGTTAAGTGAATTTTAGAAAAGGTGGAAGCTGAAAGCCTTTAACAACGGTGTTATCCACAATGTGTCTTTATTCTCATTTTTCTAACACTGGAGTTTCTTGACTCTAGATATCTGTTCAGATGAGTTCCCAAGACCTCAAATGATCGTTCATAGTTTATACTCGTATAAATTAATTTCAGCAACAGATGCAGAGTATCAATATGCTTTAGAGTCACTCACTGCACGTTGTGGAGGTATTTTGGTACATGTTTTATGCTAAGAAGATGCCACGCGATTAGTCTCATGCACTCATCCTCCTTCACAAAATCCTTACTCACGAGGATTCTGTTGAATTGATCAGGAAAGGGATGATGCTATGGCACTTTGCGCTTTCCTTTCCATTTTTTTTTTTTAATTTCCTCAAAGAGCATTCAAAACATAGGAGGGTTAATTTCTACTTTAGTGTAATGAGTATACACTATCAAACTTTTATTTTATTATGGATTAAAATTATTTGACAGTCAACATTCTAACTGAGAATTGAGAGTTTGAAATTTCTCTGGAGGAGATTATACATTTATTTTTAAGGTTCCAAATTTATTCTTAGTGTGCCTATTAAAATACAAATATTATTGTGAGTTAAATGTGCTTTTGTGGGGATTACCTCCAATGCAACCTTGTGAGCATTTCTGTATTTGACTACAAAGGAAAAAATACTATAAACCTAGAACTCACATAATTTTATTTTTAGTATAGCTGACAAACAAGCTCTTCATGAATTACAAACTGTACCCACTAGCCTCTCTGAAATTGAATAAAATTTCCAAAATAACAGCCAGGTGTTTCTTGATCATCCTCACATTGATACAAAAATTCTTTAGGCTTGTGCATTATAGAAACAATACATTTTTTAAAATTTTACTTCACCTGTATTGGAGAGTTATATTATTTCAATACAAAGAGTGATGTATTCATTCACATCAAGGATTTTGAAACTATATTCTCAGCATCTTTTCTTATAAAAAATTACATGTTATCAGAGGGGGGAAAAGTGCCCTAAAATTCTTACCTCAACTTCTTAAACTTAGTTATAAAATAGTTTATATTCCTTAAAACAAAAAATTGCCACTGCTTACATTGTTCATTCACAGACAGTTATGTCTGGAAAGTCAGTGTTATAATAGATTTGTATCATTCACATCTTTATAGTGCCTAGAAATAGCTCTATATGTGAATTTAAAATAATTACTCCTAAAATAACCCCCAACTGTCATCTCAGTTAAAAAGTTACGGTGTTTACATATTTAATGAGAAGACATCCAATATTTGGGGGTGAATGTTTAGTGCTGTTCTTAAGTGCAGTATCTTACTGTAGTATGAGACATCACTATTGTCAGGAATGAGATCTCAAATTTCACACCATGAGTGCTGCTCATGTAATATAGTGTAACAGGGAAGCATACAGAAGCATAGGTGTATAAGCTAAGAAAAATATCTTAAGATTTCTAAAATAGAATTTTCTTAATAGAAATTGACTTGCATTCAGTAAAGCTGACTCTGCCTATGCTTATTAGAAT